CAAACTCATACTAAGGCCACTAAAATCTCGAACCAATCAAATAAGTCATAAATTGAGTGCCAAAGTCATGAACAAATCTTATAAAACATAAAAACTAATTCATTTTATCCAAATTATCATTTAATATGCTGAACTGGTCATGAACCGGCCAATAGAAAACTGAACCAACCATGAACTAGTATTTAAATTACTGAACCAACAATATATCATGTTCTACTTCCCTGAATCGACCCTGAACCAGAATAAGAGATACTGAACCAGTCTTAAAAGTTATTGAACTGGCCTTATATATGTTATTCCTATGAACTGAGCTTAAAACGATGTTGTTTTTCCTAAACCGACCTTAAGCCAATTAGTTCAATCATTTGCCTAAATTACTGTGCTTTGAACCAAAAGAAAACCGATCGGAATCAATGTGAACCAGCCTTTTTTTTCCCATTTTTCTACTTAGTTATTTGTTTCTTTTTAATTATCTCTAATCCGGATCCTGGATCCGGTTTTTACCTAACTGATTCACCCAGCCCAAGTTCCATGTTACTAATCAACCAGGGCCAACCCATTGGCCCAAACCAAATCTGCCAGCCCGTAGGCCTAATCCAGCCCAAATAGACCCCCAAAGTCATTTGCTAGACCCGGAACCTTTCCAGGTCTTTTCTTCCTTACCTGCCTAACTCAAATGAACCTTTGAATCATATAAACTATGTACTTGAACAAAGCTCGAAAAAATTGATTAATGATTCACGTAAAGCTTGGGGAGACGACAATTGGAATGGTGACTCTAGCTTACTACAACGATAGTGCAAAGAATAATCCAATCAATTGGTGGCTAATCAAGCTAACTTCTGATTTTTTTTTTTCTCTCTGCCAACTACGCCGGAGTGAGACTAAGAAATTTCTTTAATTCGTGCAACAATCTACTGAAATTGATTTGGGGTTTCTCTTTACTCATCACACTCGCACCTATATTCAATCAAATCTCAAGCAAATCCCAAGTGATTTGCTCAAATTTTTGGCACCCATGTCTGCTAGATTTGGGTTACGGATGATCAAAATCCAATTTCTGATTTATTGCAATTTGATCTCCAGAGTTTTCTAATTATGCTCGATTCGGTCCCTACCTTTCGATTTCATCCTTGAAATATCTGCTTATTTCTATTCGAACCTTTCAGGTTTATAATTTCATCAAATGGGTCCTTCGACCCTTTTAATTTGATACCCAAATCATCTGTATCTTTCAATTAAGTCCCTTTATTATTGAAATTACATAAATACCCCTAAATTAGGGGTATCACAAGAAATGATTTATTTTCCAATGACATGTCAAACTGAAAATCTACTTATGTAAAAATTTATTAGTCAAGTTTAAAATTGTCTAAAGACTTAAATTTGCAACCAAAATAATAAATTATATATTTTTGAAAAGGCTGTAACATCTACTTTCATTTAAAGTTAGATATGTATAAAATTAATGTTTATATTTTAAGATATAACCAAAATATTATGATATGCTCATTCTATCTACTCATAACATAACTTGATAGAATGACCCACTTAAAAAAATTGTATCCACATAAATATAAGTGTAATATATATATATATATATATATACTTACTTAAAACTTAGCATGTCTATTCTACAAATAAAATAAATTTAGAATTTTATTAGCGCTATAAAGCATATTTACTATTTAAAGCTCATATGTACAAATTTCAACAATTAATTTTTCAAAATATAATATATAATATTGATATAAAAAACTGTTTTACTATAAAAGAGTACATGAGTCAAATTACACATGCAAATAAAACTATTTGAGTCTAATTTTATATAAAATTGACATTGTTATGTTTGAAATATTACATAATAAGATATAATTAATTTATTATATGTATGTCTAATTTAATAGTTTCACTATCTACCACAATATATAATGTATATAGCCAAATATTAGATTCAATAATATAAATTGTCTATGCCTAACAATATGAACTATCTATTATAAATATATATATAATTTTAATTTATTTTATCATTATCAATATCAATATGAAATCTTGAGAATAACAAAAAAAACTATTTTTCCTCAAAATTTATTTAAATAACATTCAACCTAATTCTTATCATAGAAATATTTACTCATTTTGACTATATGAATTTACAAGTCAAGGCATAGATTGAGCTATTTTTGAGTGATGCTCTCATTTATTTAAAAGAGTTACTCGTGTAATCTTTTTACTGGAGGATGGATTTGTTTATAAAAAACACCTTAGATTTAAAACAAACCACGACAGAAATTACTTCAATTTTTATTTGACAATGTAATTTGAATTGCCTCCATTTAACAATTTTCTCTCTTGTTAACTTAATTTTCCAGGGAATATTTGGAAAATGAAAAGATTTTCATTATAGTTCTTCATTTTAAGCAAATTCAAAAAGCAAAAAAAAACAAGCAATATAGTGGAGCTTGGCCACTTACATACCAAGACCTCAACAGGGTTAAATTCTTTTCAACTGACTTGATCGCCACTTTTCTCCCAGCTGGCACCGTCCCTACACCTTTAGCTAAAGCTGAGGAATATAGATCATGACACACCATAAAAGACAAAAACTTTATTTATGTTCGGAAGCAAGTCTATTTCTTTTTTGTAAAGTCCCGTTGCAGTTATAGATTACATTTTGATAGGCTTTCCATCTATCCAATCTTCTTCAATTCTTCTCTTTCAAGTAGGCATACCTGACAGGTAGACACTAGGTTTGAAGTGATGGAACATTGACAAACTTCCGCCTAATTTCATTTTTCTTTGGTTGATTAATTATAGATAATCTTTGATTTTTCACTAACAAGTTTCCCTCCTTTCTTAGAATAAAAAGAAAATAACACTTACAGATTGCGCTTTCCTTCAGGATAAAAAGAGACAAAGCACCTGACTAGACATTACAACGATATTCTTCTCAATAGTTTTACTTTTCCAACTTATGAAAATTTTTAGAACTAATATTTGTATTCAAGTTTGCAAGGAATCTCTTGTATTGGGTTAATTTTCTATTTCACTTTTCTTTTTTTGACTTCTTTAGCTACAAGATGAACCACTGTAGCCGTAAGTTGCGCCCGTGTCCATTGCTGGAAAAACAACCACGCTGCCAGTGCCCACAGCAAAATGCCTGTTGTTGTAACCCCCAATTTTGCCCTGGGTGGCAAATGACCAAAGTGCCCCTAGAACCCTAAGTGAGCTTTAGCTCGTTCAGAAGTGTGAGCAAGGATTTAAAGTTCCCTCCTTTCAGCTTCCTATCATTGGCAGGTCTCAACATTACAAGCATGAAATCAAGTAATAATCATCAACCTTCCAATTCCACAGCACATACTATTAGATCAGTCAAATAACTTCTTCATGGAGCCACCTAGATTAATATTTTTTTTTCTCAAACAAATAGATTAAACACAAGAAAGGAGGCTTGGAATACACCCTTCCAAGAGAAATTTATGAAAGGAGACATTTATCAAGAAAATGTTGTAAATTCTTTTTTCTTTTTTTTTATAAGGAACATGTAGAAAATTGTAATAAAGAACTCCCATTAGAGGGATTCAAACGTAAATGTAATGTAAGTGGCTAGATTCATCACCTATCTGGGCATGGAAAAGAATCCTCTCACAGGGACTGAAAATACAATGTGAATGAAATGTGACATGATGAATTTGTCAAATTAAAATGACTTGAGGTCAGTTTGGAAATATTAATAAGACAAAGGGCACATGGTGTAAAAGGATGAAAATATTTAAGGCAAAAATTTAAATAAAAGATAGATATGATCGAAAGAGATAAAAAATTGGGGCAATTTGTAAATAAAAATGCAAGGATAAAATTGAACGAAATGAAAGTTATTGGGACAATTTTCTAAATAAAAATGGCAAGGGTGTAATTGAAAGAAATCTAATATCCATGCCTTCCTATGACAGCAGGTCCCAACATCACAAGGGTGAATTCTTCCAATTTTACTGCACAAACATCTAACTAAATCACAGATTATTTCTTTATGGCACAACCTAAGTGACTTTTTTGCCTTTTCATTTTTTTTCTCCCTATAATACAAAGTATAAACATGATAACGAAATTTTGGCAAAACTCCTCTTGAAGGGGAATATATGAAAAAGCCCATTTATCAGGAAAAAAGTTCTCAAGTGATCATTTGTTTCATTGTTTGACAAAAAATGTATCAGACACAGAAGACAAGATGAAATCAAAATATTTTTCTTCCTCGCCAATTTATTCTATTATACTTGGAGATTGTTTCCAAGATATATGAAGATTCAGTCCCAGCAGTAACATATTTAAAATAATAATAATAATAATAATAATAATAATAATAATAATGCATGAGTCTTATTGCAATATAAATTTCAATCAATTGTCAAAAATCAACCTGAGCTTGTCCTTACCTCCATAACCATCACACTGAATAAATAATAGTTTATACTTTGGCCCGATGATTCCAATCCATGGGTACTGCCTGTGACCATGCTCTTTCTTTGGCTTGTCCCCACATCACAGTATAAAATCCAATAGCTATTATAATTGCCCCAATTACACTGCATAGGCATTAAACAAATAAGAACATGATTATGTCTTCTCCTTGTCCTTCAAAGGTTAGTAGTAGAGGCAAGAAAATTTTCATTTGCATCTTAGCCATATCCAGTCCCGTATACTGATGAAAAGCAAAGTAGAATATATACATCAAGTCGGACAGTCATAGGTAGGAGCAATCCAAATTGTCATGAGTAGGACCAATCCAAATTGTAAGTACTTCCTAAATGTATTGCAATATATCTGCAAGTCTATGGCCATTGAGACTGAGTTGATGACTAGCAACTGTTCTTACAACTGAGATTTTGTTTCCTTACCTTTTCTACCTTTAGTCCTTTTCAATTAACAATAATTTTAGAGAAGTTGATACCAATATATTTTGTGACTGAAACAATATATGAATAGTGAAGGGGTAACAGTTACCTCCCAAGATGAAGTTCATCATCAAGGAATATCATTCCTGCAACCACTGCAACCACCATGCCCAGGGGCTTAAACATGGCAACAAAGAGGGGACCCTTCTCATGCAAGCACCATGTAACGACATTGTAGCGAACTACAATCCCAAATATGGCCTAAACAAAACTAAATCAGTATACACAACTAACAAGAAGTATAGAAAATAATTCAAGCTGAACATGTTAGAGAACCAGTCAAAATTTACATGTTTGCATAAAACTAACTAGTAATACACAACACGTATAAAAAGCACAAAAAATAAGGAAAAGTATACTAACTAGTAACACACAACACGTATAAAAAGCACAAACACAAGGAAAAGCATAGCTACTTGATGCTCCATAGATTGGGGGTGGCATAAGAAGCACAACCAGAGCTGTCAATCCCATTTGATTTGCCACTACAATCTAAAATCTAATAAATGAAGCGCATTATTGCTGCCATCAGAAAAACAACCAGAGAAGAAAAGGACAAAAATGGCTGCACAGCCCCAATTCCTGCTTATTGACGCAACTAAGCATTTGCCAACTAAATGGGGTTAGATACATGGGTCTTATGTCATGCTACGTTTTCAGCTCAACTCAATTCAACTAAGCATTTGCCAACTAAATGGAGTTGGCTACATGAGTCTTATGTCTCCATTGTACTCCATTGGATGTCATATCTTCTGTTAAATTAATAACTCAAATCTTCCTTCTCTCATCTCGTGCTAATTTTGGTCCACCCTGTCTTGCATTATCCTCTAGATGGGTGTCACCTTTTAACTGAAGCATTTCAAGGTTTCCTAGCCATCTTGAAGTATTTTCTCTTATTTTGTACTCAGAGTAATCCATTCCAGAAGCATTCTTTCACTTTCAGTAATCTGCCCTTGATTCTTTCAGTTATATCCATACCATCTTCTCCGTCCATGTATAAAATTAATATCATGTATGGAAACTACTCAAAATCTCAAGCCTGCAGTATTTCTAGTCCTTCAAATCTAGCTATTCCTTTGTTAGCACATTTTTCTTTTAATTAAAGTTTCACTTCATAACACCTGTTTTGGTTTTATTTACCCTCTTGATTAGAAGGTCTCTCTCCACACAGTTCTAACTTATTTATCACTCCCACATTAGTTTCATCTGCTGTGACAATATAAACTGCAATTAACATGGCGCCATGGGATTCTGGCTTTCAAAATGTTATGTTAATTCATTTTTTTATCATAATTAAACAAAAGGCTAAGGGCTGAGTTCTGATCCTTGATGTTAACCAACAACAACTAGGAAGATAACTAGTTTCCCACATAGCAATTCGCACTAATGTCGTAGTCCCATACATCATTTATAATCTATAACAATTTGCTATGCATTTCTTCTCCAAAGCTCAATTAAGAGTAAATCATCATGGTCCCACACATGAAATTTCATGATCTATACCAATTTGTAACGTATTTCTTCTCCAAAGCTCGCAAGTTAGATTTCTAAGGACTCTTTCATATGATTCCCCAAATCAATAGAAACCTTGTGAAGATAGCATTTTACATTTACATTGAAGAAAAAATAAATTCATCTGCCAGAGGAGAGGAAAACAGCAACAGCACCCCAACCCCCAACTAATGGAGGCATGGGTGCAGAACTTTTTCTACATTAGATCCAATCAAAAATAATGTCAGTGTGGATAACCAAATCCATATCAATAGTAGACATCTCTAAAATGTGGATATAATCTGCCACTCAAACTTCAGAGTTTACAACAATCCTTAACAATACTAAAAAATGTCACTTTGTTAGCTTGTAATTTCACAAGTATCATAATACAATCTGCCCTATGTCATCACCAAGAAGAAACATTACAAGGTTCAAACAACCCCCACCAATTTTTATTATCTCCTGGTTCAGCATCAAAGAAAACTTTATCTCCCAAAAGTCCCACATCACTGTGCCAGAAATTATTTATTGTGAAGCCCCATAACCATTTGCCTGAGAGAGTTCTATCAAAAATCCTGTATCCCAACTTAACAACCATCCAAGAATCCTGTTAGTTATGAAAAGTTTTTTTTTGTGAACACAAAAAATATAAAAATATAAACACTATCAAGATTTGACATAATCATAATACAAATTAACATATTTGTGTTCAAAACCAAATGAAAGAATCAAACATATAGTTTCCTTACTGAATACACAATAGCAATCATTCCAATTCCAGGGCGCAATGTCCAAGCACTTGGACTCCTCTCCATGATGGAAGAGACAATTGCAGATTGCATGGTTCCAAACAATATGAAGAAAAACACTACAGTCACCTTTTCTGGGTATTGCTTCACAGTAGCTGCCTGGAAGAGAAATTTATCAGCAAATCTGGAATCCAAGCACTCATAATCATCGAAAGCACATACATTGCTACAATTTTCACAAGAAAAAATGTGTTGTATAATGAAAATTAATAAAAAGAAAGTGACAAAAAATAATAGGCTAAATGTAAGGACACATTTCAAGACTATTTAAGGGATTCCATTGCCACAGTGCAGAACAAAAGTTCTAAATATGGATCAAGTCAGAAGAGTCTCCTATCCCAGATCAGAAGAAAAATTCTCAAAAGGGGATAAAAATACTTGTTTACACTAAATGGAACGTTAATCTCACCCTTCCCCATAGAGAGAATGTGTGTATCGTTACCAACTTAGGTGTTTAAAATCCTTCACCTCGATGATTTGCCACTGGCCAGAGGTTGCTACAACTCATGCCTTAAACAAACAAATTTATCACAATTATAAATAGTGTTAAAGGCCGAGAATAGTCCAAGTTTCATCAAGGCTCAATAGGTGTGCCTTGCTTGTATAAAGGCTTGGCTTCTTAGCTTGAGTTGAAATTTCACAAACACTCAACACTTCAACTAATAACAAATATGGAGAGAAGAGCCTAACATGATGCAATGGACTTGAGGGATGAGAAAAGCCATTGATTTATTGAAGTGATAATCGGTTGGAGTGTTTATCCAATGAAGAACAGAACAAGAAGAGATAACCTGAGGGAAAAAAAAAAAAAAAAAAAAAAAAAAAAAAGAGCTTCGCACTCAACCTTCGATAGAAAATGGATATTCAATTTCATAGAATGAGAAAGGAATAATTAATGGGATTTAAGAAAATCAAGGATTTTTAGGGGAAGCTTCTATATTAATTGGAGTTTAAAAATTAAGTGGAAGAATTTTAGGAGATAATTTGGTTAAAAAGTTAGTTGAAGTTCATCACTTAATAGTATGTGTTGAATTATTAACTACCATCTCATCTAAAAACTTAAAACTCATAGAGAGAGAAGCATAGTTGTCAAGAGCGTGAAGCGTAGCAAAGCACAAAGGCCTCTTAGAGCTATAGCATATATTGCGTGCTCTATTGAAATAAGCACTACATGAATATATTTCTAATATATACCAAAAAAAACATGGATGATGACTAAATATATGCAACAAGCCAAAGTGTAAATATATATCAAACAAATTCATGCTTAAATATCAAGGAAACAAAGCACATTATCGAAAAAATGGTCCAAAACTAAGCAAACCAGACTCCAAAATACTTCCCAATTCTATTCCTCATCATTCAAATCTTCATTATCAAGGTTGATGCTACCATCCCTTATCATCACTAGGAGAATTAAAGCATTCATTGTCCTTCTCCTCTTCTTCTTCTGTATCACTAGTCATTCTTACCGCAACATCAAATTTTGCAAGCAGAAAAGCACGAATTTGAGTACAATCAGACTCCACAACAATCATTTTAGTTCAAGTAACAGCAGTAGGAGGGAGAAAAAGCAGAGGAAGAAGGCCACAAAAAAACAGATGAGGAAGAGAAAATATAGCAGCTTAAAAGAGGGGGAAAAATATGCAGTAAACCTAGCCAGACTAGAGAGAGGGAAAAAAAAAGCAAGAAGAGAGAGAGAGAGAAGTATTCATTAGAAGAGAAGGAACCATATCTGCAGAAAAGCCAGAAAAAAGAAAAAGAAGAGGAGAAGCGTAGAGAGAAGACGAAGCCATCTTACCTGGGCTACAACTTGCAAAACTTGTGATTGGCTGTGAGATGTGAGAGCCAAAAGTGGACTGCAAGCACCTTACGATTTGCAACTAGGTTGTGAGATGCAAGAGCCAACTTCACTGGGTTGGTTAGAAGCCGACTGCTAGGAGACGGGAATGAGGAACAAAGGTGGGGAAGGTTTTGCAAGCTCATTTGCTTTACATAATAGTGTGCTATGGCACGCTATGCTATTGCCCTAAAACGCAAATAGTGCGCCATAGTGTGCACTATAGTGAAGTCTAACTTGCATAATGCATTGATGCACAAAAGGATGCACAAAGATGCGCTTTTAACAACTATGGAGAGGAGTTACTTAGAGCATGGCCAAACTTTATGATAACAACATGGTCAACACATGGAAGTTTTAAACTTCCGGGCAGGAAGACTTGAACATAGAATTTTCGCCTGTTTTGATACCATGTTAAACTACCATCTCTTCTGAAAGTTTAACTTTGTAGAGAGAGGAGTAACTTAATTATATATTACTTAAAGGTGTGCAACAACTATATAATGAATTTTATTCATGAATATAACATTTAGCCTTCATCATCTAAGAAAAGAAAAATATAAACAATCACTCCATTCATCATATCAAAATATATTAATAACTATACATGCACATACATGTGCAGGTGATCAACATTAACATTCCTCATCAAATTGCAATCCCAAAAGGCATTCCATCTAAGCCTACCCTCATGATACTACTTACCAGTAAAATCATTATACATGTAGTCTTACCCCTACCCTTTAACACAGCTACCCCATGTCTGGTAACTTCGCATCAGATTATATCGCTTCAACTAGATGGCATGTGGAATAGCATCATTTTTAGTCTTATGGTGTTACCCTATAATGCATTACAGCTAAGTGGCATATAGTAGTGTCTTTTAGGTTGATATATCAGATCCATGAATGAAATTGCAAAATAAGTATCGGGCTAAGAGCCATAGTAGCATCTTCTTGCATAAATGCTAAGAGACAAGATTGGGCGCGCAGAGAGACAGAGAGACAGAGGCAGTGCACAGAAATTGAAAATTGAAACTTATAGAGGCTTTCTAGAAAGGATATCATCTGGAATGACTGAAGAAAGAAAGAAAGAAAGAAAGAAAGAAAGAAAGAAAATGCAGGAAGACCATCCATTATAAGGGCAAAGAACAGATTCCAGCAGATTATTGAACAGATGACACTGAGCCATAGACCAATTGCAAGAGATTTGCTTAAATGCATAGAAACATCAGAGATTAGCATTACCATCAGTCACAAGAACGGCTGCTCAACCCCTATAGCCTGAGCCTATGGAATTGTAGATATGTATAAAGAAAGACGGGGGAGAGGAATGCTATCTGATATATCAATCCAAAAGTATTTATTCAAACAAGAGCATTTTTGAAGTTTATGAGTGCCCTATATATCCATTGAAAAAAATAAATGAGTTGTGCATGTTTCCGTTAGCAAGGAAAGAGGCATGCAAAATGTGAAAGATTATCGTGATCATGTGCATTCTGCATTGAGAGAGAGAGAGAGAGAGAGAGAGAGAGAGAGACTACAGCGATAGTAGATATGCATTTTGGTCAGTGAAACTATTTTTTCTCCCTTTTAACACTCCCATGAAAATGGGACAATGACAATTTGCATGGTCATCTTGTCCACCTAGGAAGCACTTTTTTTTTTTTTGGGTGACGTATCTGTGTTTAACTCTTATAGACACAGCAAGATGCATCAAGCACACCACGTGGCATGTCTTTAATCTTGAGCACACAATCCAGCATAAGGACACACCTATCTTAGTACATAAGACACCCATGTCTCTAAAAGATTTACCTAGCATTGATCATTTTGCAAGAAGATTTTGAAGTTAAAAAAATATATGATATGTATTTAAGCAATAAAAGAATGAAAAAGTTGTTCCAAATTCATAGTAGTTTTTGGTCTATGCCAAGTGTTGTTTTAAGCATTAAAGAGAGTATAATTTTTAAGTGTTTATGTTATTTTGTAATCATTTTATGAATGTTCCAAGTTATAATTATAATAAAAATCAAAAGATTTCTATATTTTGATTGTGTCCATATCATTACGGTATTCTAACTTTTCCAAAAAGTTCACATTTTGGGGTGTGTGTGTGTGTGTGTGTGTCAAACAATGTTTGTGTGTCCATGCTTCTTGTCCACAATGAAATGAATTATGTTACTATGAAGTAGCCTTTTAGATGATTAACAAAAAGAAAAGCAAAGAAAAAAAGTCTCTCAATCCTTGGAGAAACTCTAGAGTTCATATATTATCAAACTCTCCATTCATTGATACTTAAGGCTAATCAATCCATAGATAACCCAGTTCATACCAAATCTAACAAGAACAGTAAATATTATAACCTTCAACATTAAAGAAAAATACAATTACTATAATAATAAATTAAATAAAATAGCAAAAATCTAAAAATATTATCAATACAGCTTTTCATTCTCCATCATTAACTAGCACTTATTTTACTGATGAGATATCTCACTATCAAACACAGTATATAAATGTTGAACCCAAATAAAGTTGCAGTTCCAATAAAAATTAAGTTAGACTGATGCTGGAGCCATTGCATCAAAGATAGGAACAAATTTCAGAGAGGAAGGGTATAATAGGAGTTCAGATGTCTTTCAAGAGGAACATACTGAAGCAAACGATGATATATTAGGACAACATTCAGGTCTCAACAAAAGATGAAGATGAGCATGAGCCACTTGTTGGTGTCAAAAGGATTGAGGAAGTTGAGACCAGAAGTGAGATTTTGGAAAATACTCATCAATCAAGGAGAGAGAGAGAGAGAAAAAAAAAAAAAAAAAAAAAAAAAGAAAAACAAGAAGAAGAAGAAGAAGGACATTGAAGCACAGAAGCAACATGTTGAATTAAAGATTTTTAAGGCCGTCATATCATTCAATTTTGTCATCCACAAGTTCACAACAGCAGAAACAGAGAATAATTTCAATCATTTATTACATTTAGCCATGCGAGTGAAGAATTTTCAAATCTTGTGGAAAAATGATATAGACTAAGTCACTATATCTGAAGCTTTTAGATATTCCATATTGATATTAATTTATTTGCTCTTTTCATATTTTAGTTCATTTAGTGATCTTAGAAGTTTAGAATAAGGAGAATACTCAGTAGACGAGGAAGAGAATATCATCATGATTCTCTTCCTTTATTTGTTTATATAACTAAGTTACTTCAATCATTGATTAATCCAAAATATAAGACTTCAAGTTCAAATTTTTCTATTTGTATTCGAATTTTTTGTTTGTTTGTATGCATGAATCTTCCTTTTCTTCCCTTTTTTCCACACCATTTTTAGTACATCATTGGCATTTGATTTGTTGACATAATAAAGTACATAAAAATGAGACCTTCAATTTTTCATTGAAAATTTGCATGTCTCAATGTACTTTGTCCTGCAATTACAAATTAGGCTTGCAATTAATATACTGATGTAACACAATCTGCAATAGGTAACATGATCTTTATCATTACTTGCTACTTGCAAATACAAATCTTTGACGTGTGTTTGTATACACATAAAGGATCCAGTGAAAACTTTTGCTCATCAAAATGATAGATACAAACCTATGAAACTTATCTAGTAGTCATGTCTACAAACCTGAACATATATAAAATTAAATCTCCCTCATTGTGCATATCTTTTAATATTTTCTCCCAAGGGATATTCTTCATCTTCTCCTGACCGGCCTTTTTGGTTAAATTTTTGGGTTTATATTTACAAAATCAATAAATGTTATCACTATTTACAGTGGTAAAAATTTGATATATGAATAACAAAACTAACTAATGTCATGATGTAGAATAAAAATGCTCATTACCAGAATTCCTGTATCATTTGCTATCATTATTATAAGTTCACACAATTTATATTATTGAATAACAATTTTAAGAAATTACCAATAAAACCTTGATACATGAGATGAAAAAGCTATATACAAACATATAGCTGCTTCACTTGCCTGGTTTGAAGTGTCTTACTAAACTGAAAATACTCGAGTTAAAGAAAGTGGTCATTTTTCCTCTTTGGATTGTTCAGTAAAACTTAGTAGAGTTCAAATTATCCCCAACTATTAGGACAAAGGAAATATTGCTATAACACATCAGTAAGCAGAGAAACTTTCAAAAAGTTTCAGTCCCACTATCACATTCCCCAACACACCCTTTGCCATTCCTGCAAAGCATACGCATAATGTTGACTTGGAAACGTGGGACAGAGCTCTAAGTATCACATTTATTTTCAGTCTATAATATCACTTCACATGTCCCCTAAAGAGATAAAGAGATCAAGATAAAACAATGCAAGGCTGGTATGTGTCATTAAAAAGCTGCACTCCATAACACGAAGTTGTACAGCCACCCTAAGGCATAATTGAGGAAGAATAAATAAAAGAAAAGAAAAGAAAAATCTCCATACAATTTTACCTGCAAAATGGTCCAAGTAGCAGCAGAGCAGAAACTAATGGCAAACAGAAGGCCTCCAAGAGCCCAATTCGATGTCTGGGGCATATGATCCTGAGAATGTAAACTAGAATGTGACGCACCAATGATTTCTGGGCCTTTATAAAGAGTCACCACAAATGCCCCAGATACTGCCACTAAAGTGCCCAGAGATTTTGCTATACTGCTTGAGGTTCCGATGTCTATCTTCTCCATCCTACATGCAGGTTTAAAAATTTATAGGAAAAATTGCAGTGAACTAACTGACATGACCGTTCAACATATATAGCTTGAATACATGCACTGATGACATGTATGCATGTTAGTGTTACAAATACATACATAAAAGAACCTAAAGTTACCAACTAATTTTAATGATCTGTAAATATATTCTCCATATAATTAAAGAGAAATACTACCGTTAACCAAGTCCTGCGTGTCATACCCAGTAGATATGGCAATGACGAAAGTAAAAACGGGCACAAGGTTGGCCATAGCAGCAGCCAGAGCTGGAGAGCTGTACTTGAGCCCCACGTACCCAAACATTAACAAACCTCTTCTGCAACAATATTACATTACAGGTGATCTCATTTATCGCCAATTAATACCAAACAAAAAAAGAAAAATTATTAGAGTAATAGGATCCATTTCCATGGAAAACCGGGACGTGACATCTTCGGTTCGTATTCTTACCCGAACAAGCCAAGGAGGAAAAATCTAAAGAGGAGGGTCAACGTAAGAGGAGGACGCTTCTTTCTGCTCCACATGCATAAGGAGATAAGAACTTAAAAAAACAAAACAATATAATGAAGAAAATGGGGAAAAAATAATGCGGAGAATTAAGAGTAGAGTGGAGTTGAAATGCATACAAGAAACCTGTAGGTACGGAACATGAAAAATGGGAAGAGGAGGAGGAGGCCAAGGGAATTGTAGTAAACAAGGTAGATGAAAGGACTCATCCCGAGGTTGAAGGCTGCTTTAGCGAACGTCACCATGCCCACCTCCCCCCACTCGACCATGACCATTGCTGCAAATGGTGCTGCTTCCTTCAGACCAGATCTCAAACCCCCAGCCATACTCTCCCTCTTGTGGGTAGAATAGGTGGAGGATTGGTTTCTTCAATTTTTTCGATTTGTGGGCCTATACGCTCTTTTGAGAATTGAGAGAGAAGAAAAGCAACCCCAAATCCGATTTGATTTAGTTTTGACGCTGCCTTCGTTCGCCTATGGACAGTCACAGGGGACTTGTATATGAATGAAGAAAGAGGGGTCAGCATCCGTTTGGAATTTCGATTGGGTCAAATGGCAACTCTGCTCCAGGAATAAAGGGGGGAAGCAAAACCCTGCCGTGTGCGACGTGGCGGCCCCCATTCAAATTTGACGCCTTTTTTTATAATACTAAAATAAGGCTAACCTACGAGTCAAAAAAAAAAAAAAACCTAACTGAACTAAAGTCCCCGACGATTTGGAGTTTTCAAAAATGCCCGCCATCGGGCACGGCTAGTGACTCTCCGAAGATTGAATCGGCCTAATTCAAGGGATGTAAAAGATTAAGCCTAGAGAATTGGGTTGAGATGATCAGAGGTAGTTTAGAATTAGACTTGGATGGGTTTGAGTTGTTGCATTGAGCTAGATTGGGCCATGGGGAAAACAGGCTAGTGGGCCACTTGGCTAGCCCAAAAGTAGCAGGATTGGGCCATGGCAAGCGGGCCTGCAGTCCAAAGTTCCAAAGCAAAGCACAGGATGGAGATACTGGGTTGGGGCAAGGGTGCAAAGCTGAATCAACAAAAGGCCACTTATGTCGAACCAACAATAGTGGGCTAAGTCCCTATCATGCAACCCTAGCTCGCCCTTTTGGGCTAACCTAGTTAGGCCAGTCTAGACTCAGCTAGAACTAGGTAGTGGGTAAGTGTTAGTGGGTCGAGTAAAAGTCCAAAATTTTTTGCCTTCATTAACTTGGGAACCAATATATTTTTCACCTGAAAATAGTAAGACTTCTTTGTTTTTCGATTCTTTATCAAAAATGTTGTGTTTCGGACTCTTTTTAACCTTGGCACACACATTCATAAGTCTCAAGAGCTTGGCCCATGCGTCTCACACTTTCCCACGTGCACACACTCCCCCATGTGCCCTAGGCCTCATGTCCACGCACTTGGTCTAGGTTTCATGTGCCGCACGTGCACATACTCCTTTCTGGTGCATCTGGATCCGCCACACACAAGCCTCACACATGAATTGGTGGCTCCTATGCATGAGCTTTTGTCATCCCTATCCTTGGGTCATGCGTGTCGTTCACACGTGTTGTCTTCCACCTCCTATTCCTTCTTCTCGTGTCTACAACTAGTTATCTTGATCTATAATCCCAAGCCCAATTGCCTAGACAACACTCTCATACAAATCAAACCCAGAACACAAACCACATACACACTCACATTGTGTATCGACAAGGAAGAAAGGGGGAAGAAGAATGAAAAAGATATGCAGAAAATTACAAAAGCCCTTATTGCTTCCAACCTTGCATTTTTAACATAAAAATTACAAGGAACACTTGGTTCTCTCTTTCTCTTCGATCGAGTCTCACCCTCTCTGTCTCTCAATTGGATGCTTTTGGAATGGTGAGGGATCAAATTTCTTTTAAAACACCGAGCCTCGCCCCTATTTATAATACATTGGGGCTTTAACAAATCCAACATAATCTACTCGAGGATTAAGCTTTATCTCCTATACAATCGGGATCCTTGTCTTACACTCAGTTCAGAAAGGAGATCTGTACAGAGTTCGAATTAGGGCCAGATTCAAGGGAATGAGCTATGAAAATTTAATCCCATTGGCTAAGGATGTTAATCAAAGGATTAGATAGGGATTTGCTTATATTTTGCTTAACATTCTTTAAGCTCTACAAAGGGGCTAGTATTCGACTATTTAAGGAAGCCCATCCACTTGAGAGACGAAGAGAGTGGATGAGGGATTTGAAATCCAAGTGTAAAAGGAAGTAGACTTGTGGATTAGGGCTTTTTTTTTTTGTAAATCTTTGGAAGGTTAATGAAAACGTCTAGAGAATTGGTTTCTCCCATAAACTCAGAGTGCCTCCTCCTTCTTTGTCCCTTTTTTTCCAAGTTTGATATACATTGCATGGGTGTGTATTGGTGTTTATCCATTCTGGGTTTGGGTGATTCAGGCAACAAACGAAAAGCTTGGTTTGCAAACTTATATCTCCAAGTCTAATGGCAAGCAACGATCAAAACAGGAACCTTCCCTGCTCACTAATTACCTGCGAGTCAAGCAAGCACATTATAGAAGCTACAAACACACACAAGCCAAGGACAAAGACGACAGGCCACATAATAGTCTTGGTGCATGTGACGCATGTCAACAAACAAGAGCAAAAGACATGTGAGGAAGAAGTATTGAGCATGTTGGGGTATGTGAGGGGGAGATTTGGGCCAAAACGTGATTTTTTTAGTGAGAAACAAAGAATTAAACGAGGTTTTCTATTTTTAAGAAGGCAGTAGGTCAATATCTAGATTATTTTAAATTGAAAAATTTTTGGACTTTTGTTAACTCAATGACAACAAGTTATGTGGTGTCAAATTAAGAAAAATAACTGGAAGAAATGGATAGACAACATTTGGGCACAATATTTTAAAAAACTCTCTTCTTTGTCGTCTAGAGGTCTAAACTTCTCGTTTTGACACTCATTTTTTAATATATTTGATATTAAGTTTTAATTTAATAGGATAATTTGAATGAGTTTTGATATATATGTAAAATTATAAGATTATAATGTCTAAACTTTTGTTAACTCAGTGACAACAAGTTATGTGGTGTCAAATTAAGAAAAATAACTGGAAGAAATGGATAGACAACATTTGGGCACAATATTTTAAAAAACTCTCTTCTTTATTGTCTAGAGGTCTAAACTTCTCGTTTTGACACTCATTTTTTTAATATATTTGACATTAAGTTTTAATTTAGTAGGATAATTTGAATGAGTTTTGATATATATGTAAGATTATAATGTATATCACAAAAGTTATGTATGTTTCAAGTATTTAGAGGAATTCATCTATTGAGTCAATTTCTAGTATTAAATATATTATTTTTTAGACGTGCTAGAAATTAAACATATTATTCTCTCTAAGAAGTCATGATAAATTTCCAAAAAAATGAAATTAAGAAGGGTATAACATCTTCGTGATGGGGTTGTTAGACTTGCGCTTACTCCTTTAGGGGGAAAAAAACAGTATGGCAGTCACATCCAAACTTCCTCTTTTGGATACCTAACACACTCCCTACATCCAAGCTAAATGTAAGAACCATTTTCATTATTTTTTTCCCCAAATCAAAACATTCCTTAGAGAGCCCAATAAGCCCTAGTGGTCCAAATGTCTATTATTGGTGTATAGATGCTCTCAAATGGTACTTTGGCCACCTTACACTACCAAATAGTTTTGCTGCAACAAATTGCACTTTAGATAACAAAATAAATATAACAAAGGTTAAATTTGTTATAAAAAAAAGGATTTATCACAACGAAAATTTTATTTTCTTACCAAAAAGTACATCTTTGGTAACAATTGAAAAAGTTTGTTACCTTTAATGTAATATTGTTATACAAAATTTTTTTCTTCAGTAACCAAACAGAAAATCATTGCATGAAGAAAAAATTTATTACAATTAATATTTACTGCCATTCACGAAGAAGTTTTTGTAATTTTTTTTTTTTTTGCGTTTTTGTAATAGTTAGAATTTATTTACAAATAAATAATTGTGTAACAAAATTTTTGTTACTAATTTTTCATGTCTTTAAAATTATTTTCCTCTAAAATGGTAGGATAAAAAATTTTTGTCACCAATTTTCCATGTCAATAAAAATTATGTCCCTCCAAAATTATTTCTCTACAAAACATTAAGATGACAAATTTTTTGTTATTAATTATGTGGCATAAATTATTAAGCTCAATAAATAATATTTAATTTGTTAATAAGTTATCTAACATAATTTGTTGAAAATCAACAATTCATTTTAACTCGAGATTGATTAAGACTTCATAAAATTAGTATAATTAATTTAGAATTCAAGTTAATTAATTAGATTAAAGTTCAATTGGTTTAATTAAACATGACTCTAGAGAAAAATTAAAATTGAACTTAAATTAATTATCAAACTGAACTTGGATAATTAGTTAAAATCAAAATCAATAATTAACTAAGGTTTAATAGATTATTGGAGTCCACTCAATTAAGTAAGTCAAACTTGAATCAGTTAATTAATTCTAAGGCAATTAAATTCATTGCACTCAACATAAAATTAATTAATTAATTTTTATGGTTCATTTTAAATTATTTAAGGCACAATATTTGATTTATCATCTAACTGAATTAATATAGTCCACTTAATTAGTTATTAGGTCCTAACCAAATATTAATTCCCAACTTTCCAATAAGTTAGACCAAATATATATCAAGTCCAATAAAAACTAAATAAGTAAACACTTTTAATCCACGAAAGTGTTAAAATAATAACAAAAATTTGGTTACAAGAAACCAAAGAGTTAGCCTAAGTGGTATAACACATGTATCTCTGATTAGTCTAGGCCTCCAATGTACTCAAAAAAAAAAAAAAAAAGATTTGGTTATGAAAAAATAAGTGTGTTTTTTGAAAATACTTGAATGTTATTCTAAAAGTAGTTACCAAAAACAAGCAAACTCCTTCTAAGTCTCATATATTATTAGATTCATTTACGACATTCAATACTAATTTACTTTTACTCCGAGTGTACATCCATTCAAAATGTACACCAAACATTCATTGAATGTACGAAGAACTTACACCATAAAATAGATTTCTTAGATATCTAAAGAATGTTATTAGGTGTGTTGCCTTACTAGGT